CTAATTTAGACAAATAAAAATTAGAAAAAGAAAAAAAGAAAAAAAGAAAATATTTGGAACCGAATAAACTTAAAGAATTGAAAATGGAAATGGAAAAAGAAAAAGGATGAATTAAAATTTTTTACTGTTTCAGTGATGTATTCACCAGCTAAACAATGTATACATTTCCCATTATATTTTGGACATTGTAAGCATGTTGATGCACCACCTGATTGGTCACCAACATTGGTGACATTAATCCGATAAATGAATGCTCGATCTGTTATGACATCCTCTTTTGTTGAACTTCGTGATCTTTAAAATCATTATATAAGTTAGTAAATTATTAATTTTTAAAATTACATAAATTTTAATCCTTATTTGTCATTTAATTTTAGCTATGCTTAATTTATTTCATTTCCATTGTATAATTTTCACCTATATTTAATTTATTCCATTTCCGTTATTCATTTATTTTCGTTAATTTCTAATTGTACAAAATTTATTTCTTATTTCTTGTTTATTTAATAATAATAGTAATAAAATATTTAACATTGAAAATCAAAATTTCCATACCTTATAAAAACGAATAAAAATTGTGTTGGATTTGGTGAAACAATTGGATAGGAAAATGATTGATAATGTTGAGTACCACTAAAATCCGCAAGAATACGATAGTAGGATTGTGATGGTGTATTCTAAAAAGAAGAAAAAAAAAGGAATAATTAAAAAAATAATCAAAAATCATTATCATTTTATAAAAAAATTACATGCAAAATATTTTATAGCATATATAAATTTAAATTTTGAAAATTTTGTAAAAAAAAAATATTTATTAAACAAACTTCAATAAAATATAGCACACAACTATCATCCACACATTTCATTTCAAAATCAAATGTAATATGCGCAATTGGATTATGTGATGATGTTGGTTCATCAAATGCAAGCAATGGATTTGAAAAGCCATCATGAATTTGTAAGCCAAGTTCGAGTGCAATGCCTTTCTCTTGTGTTGATGAAGTTTGTATCATACTTCCAGATGGTATCCATGCATTATCAATTGTACAACTCATTGAATCACCTTAAAAAAATGGAACAAAGAATTCAAATTTTAAATTTAAATTCTAATTAATTTACTTTAATCAATGAAAATTGAAATAATGATGCATACCTTCAACAATATATTCACATTTAGTGAACATATTTGGTGGAAGTGTATTCCAAATAATGTAATGATAACCATAATTTGGTAATGTATCAACTGGACATCTATGACATTCTGAAAATGAAAATGATATGATTCCACTTTCTTT